GCCTGTAAATTATTTAAATTTATAAAATTTGAAATTCATGGTTCAACAAAAAGTCTTAATTTTTGAAATTACGATTGGGGATCCAAAGCTTAAATAAACAAAACTAATAAAAGTTAATCACAATAACCAAAAAATGCCAATATTTTGACCAAAGCTCTAGGTTGCACTTAGAAGCTCATAATTTTCAATCTACTTAAGATATAATTTTTATTATGATAACTATGATTCATACTATCACCCCCTTTCAACTTGACGTTGAATTCTGGAACACTTTATATATATATATATATATATATATATATATAATTCATTTCCTACGTGCTTCGAAAAATCTCGTTCTTAAAAATTCAATTTACTCGAACGATTAATTAAATGTCAATAAAAAAGCTCTGAAAGAGAAACGATAAAATTCGCATAATCGCTGATTTAACTTCATTTGAAAGAAATTTGTAAGCTGTCAATTGAGCTTTTGTTCTTTTCCAAAGCTCTTTGTTATATTTTTTCGGTTATATATATACATATATATATATATATATATATATATACATATATATACATATATATATATATATATATATATATATATATATATATATATATATATATATATATAACTCGTATATATATATAGTAGAATTGAACGATATATAGGTCAGCCTTTTATTATTCGATTTCCATATATACCTAAGATCTTTTTTTATTCTCGTTTTCGTTTCTGAAAGTTTTCGATTTATTGAGATGCAATCAAACGGACTTATAAAGCAAATTGTAGTAAAAAGCTTTCACAAGTATTGGATGTATATATATATATATATATATATTGAAAGTGTTTAAATTGTTGAATGTTGAAATGTATAATTAATTTCTTGGAGTAAAAAAATATAAATAAGTAAAGATTTTTTAAAACATCTTTATTTTTCCATACGTTTCGACGTAAAATTCTACGTCATCGTCAGTGGTTTTGAATTTCTTAGATTATCACTTACACATAGTAAGTAATCTCTTTTTTATAAAGAATAAAAAATAATTAATAAATAGAATATTATACGTAAGCACTCGTGCACGAGTATATGTATCCGAGGCAAAGCCAAACAAAAATCTTCTTTTGATTCTTAACTTAAATTACAAAATCAGCTCATAAACCTATTATACAAATAATACAAATTGTGTACAATCTGCTCCAGAATTTTTTTCATTTATTCTCAAAGTTTAACTGCTCAATAATATGTGTACAAACAAGTTTTTCAAAATTTCAACCCTTTCCACTCGGATGCCGCCGCTCCAGCGACAAAATTCATATAAATCTCGAAATTCGCGAGTGGAAAGGATTAATTATTTTATGCTCATACCAAATTGCCGATTTTTACTATTTTTAAAAAAAAGTTGTAAAAAAATATTTTTTGTTCATTCAGTCGATATTTTGTTCAATACATTTATTGAACTTGTTCGTAGTTTGTATGATTGCGACATTAATCCATATTAATATTTTTTTTCCGATTATTAGCATTCCGTAGGGTAAGTTATTGTAATCGTACAAAAATCAAAATTGAAAATTTTTACATTTCTTTACGGTGTGAAGATTTCTGAACATTTTGGCATACTTCAGGAAAAATGGATGTGTGTGTGTATGTATGTATGGATAAAATGTTTTGTCCACGTTTTCGGGCGCATGGATCAACTGATTTGTATGGTTCAAAAAACATTCGATTCCTATTGATAGGGAGATGTGCTGATTATTTTTGGGCAATGGCAGGTCCAGCCATTTCGGAAATACCGAGCTAAATAAGCAAAAATGGCAGTTTTTTTTTAGAGAGAACTACGTATCCGATTTGAATGATTCAAATATCTTTTTGCTTGGGTTGACAAAACGATTGCTTTTGAAAGAAAAATATATATATTTTTAATTATTATTATTTTTTGTTTGAATAATTCGATTTTTAATTTTAATTCTAGCTAAAGTTCTAAAGCTCACTTATACTTCAAAAAAATAATTTTAACTTTGCAATTTAGTTTATATAATTCTTATAAATATTAGACAATGTCCTTCATTTTAAATTCGATTGAATAAATTTTGTTTATTTACTTTAACATAAATTACAATAAACATATATTACAATAATCTATTTGAAAACATTCAACATTCATCGAATATTTCATTACGGTGCGGGAAGTTCCAGCAATTTACCTTAAGGCACGATGCCATACACCACTAGTTTGTAGGGCTATAATCATGGGTATAGTCAGGTGCCAATTTTTGAGACCCTCACTTCATCGCCTTCTAGAATTAATACTTTATGACTATTTTAAATTTTTATATTTATTTATATTCTCAAACATAAGTTAATGATTTTGTATAAGAAATTTACCAATGATATTGTTTGCCTTTTTTACGGTCTAAAAATTTCATGAAATTCATGCCTCTAGACCAGGAAAAAGTTCTTACACTAAACACCTTTGTAAGCCCGTCTGAAAAAATGGATAATTAAGTAAAATTACAACTTTTTCCTCACAATTCTATCAATTACCATCAAAAACTATCCATTACAATCTGCATTCCGTCACATGGCATAACATATGCATTGTTGAGCCGTCGAAATCATTAATTCCATAGGGAATCGTACGTAACAAAATGACTAAAAACAAGTCGTGAGTTTCTTATCGCTCACGCACATCGTCCTGTCGTGTGTATGAACAAATTACGAAGGGACGACATTCTGATGTATTTAGACAGATATATATGGTCGTGATCGCCAGAAGGAACCAACGTTATCGGCTTCTTTCACACGAATAATAGATGGTAATAAATAATTTATTATGCAGACTTTGAATCTTACCAAGCGGTTGCTGGGGTTTGAAAGTATTCCATTGTAAGGATGGTGGTTGATGTATACTGAATGGGTGATGATTTTATTTTTAAATCGGGGCAAAAGAATAATAATTCCATATCAAAGGTGATACAAAATTCAAAGATGTCGATTACTAAAAGATACCCTAAGTATGTACCGGA